TGAAACTATAGTGACATCAATATTATTTATTATCAAATTGATATGAAACCATGCATGGTGTTATCGTGTTTTCATGGTAATTTGGTCAAGTTTTTATTGGTATTTGAACAAAAGGTATTGAGGTGATTCAGGTAGCTGGTTTTTAGAATAGGTAATACAATTATTATTGAAATTAATTTTTTTTGTGTTTTTAAAATTAAGAGCGTATGTCGTAGATCAAATATTGTACAATACACGTGAGTTAATCCTCATTAAGATACTTGTATCGTAAATATCTATTACAGCACTCAGTGCGGTAATAGTTATTTACATTACAAGTGCGTTTATGAACATGATTACATTAACGAGTGTGAAAGATTAGAACGACGAGGTAGTAGACCGAGTCGTTCTTATCACACCAGTTTTATAGTAATGTTTAAACGCACGTATGATGTACAATGTTTTATCTACAAAGCGAAAAATAAGGATGTTTTTTCAATTATTTTCTTTTATTAATAGTTGTCTACCTACATTTTACCTTTACAGGTTTAACTTTGACATTTGTCAAATCACCAAAAATAGTTGTGTTATAGATTCATAACCTAGTCCATAACACCACTACTTGTGTTATGAATTCATAACCTAGTCCATAACAGCACGGTTGTGTTATGAGTCTCATGACATAACTCAAATACTAGAAAAATAGTTATGTAAAAACGTCATAACCAAACGCTTGTAGATAAAGAATTTTTATCGACAAACGTTTAGTTATGACGTTTTTACATACCCATTTTTCTATTATTTGAGCTATGTCATGAGACTCATAACACAACTAGTGGTATTTTGGATTAGGTTATGAATCTATAACACAACTAGTTTTTGTGATTTGACAAATGTCATAGTTAAACCTATACATTAAAAAATCAATATTATAATTCGCGTCCATAGTTCTCAACTATAGAAACCACGTAGAAAGTTCAGATAGATTCGTGTTTTGTGGTTCAAATTTTCTATTTTTTGGTATAAAATAAGTTCTTGAGAGTGGACAATAATTACAAACCTGGTGCAAAGAGAAAAAGCACCAGGATTTAATGAAGAGTTACTTCTGCCATATTTTTATAGGATCTCTAAAAAATATTCACCTTCAAGCTCATGGTGGAAGTGATCCATATTGAAACATATATTACAAATAAAAAAAAACATTGATATTCAAAAATTTTATAAGTTAAGGGTATTGAATGCGCCGTTTAAAATATATTGTAACGTACGTCGAACTATACGACTACCCAACAAGTTAATACTAATAAAGATGCGAGGTTCATCGCGATTATTGCATTGGGCTACTGTTGGGCCGAGCCGCACAGTGATGGATATCGCCAATCCAGGATTCCAAAAGTCCACATTTTGGTAGCAACAAATTGGCGGAAAATTTATCCTCACGTCTTTAGAAATGTGTGCTGAACAGAAAAAGTTAAAATCTAAAGAGTGTTAATTTTAGTGGCATGCAGACGCATAAATTAAAAGTTGATGAAAAATACTCTAAAAAATTGTTAAAATCTAAATCCTTATCACGATAAACAATTTTTTGCTGGCGTTCTGGTTCTGAATATGTTGTTTTATTATTTAATGCACGGAGACGATATTTTATAGATAATAGTATCAACAGTTTATAAGCGCTATAACAAAGTTATTTAAAATGGAAATCTATGGAGGTAAGTATCGGGTCTTCAAAAAAAAAAAAACAATCAAAGATTGCTATGGTTTTTTGAACGTAGGTCTTAGCAATATTTTTCTTTAATTTTGACAATCTAAGTCAATGAAATTTAATGTCAAAATGTCATGTCAAAAATCCTGACCAATAAACAAACAATAATGCGACGTACGTTTTCGTAACCAAAGCAATCTTTGATTGGTTTTTTTTTGAAGACTCGATACTTTACTTTTAAACTATTTTGGTTGCTGTGAAAGTAAAAGTGGGTTCTAACAGACATTTAATTTAATTTGGCATTCATTATAATTTAATTTAAAAAGTTTACTATACAATACCATATGACAGCGTTCATACAAAATTTTAATTTAAGACATAATATAACTTAATTTAAAAGTTGGCCAACTTTTATCTTTCAAAATTAAATTAAATCAAATTTGAGGTTGATCATTGATTTTCATCAGGTTGACAAGGCATATGACGGATAATGACATTTTTCTATATCAGTTAAAAAATTACTGTATGAACTCCATAATAGCTATTTATACAATAAGTTACGAAATGAGCGTCTTTTAGGCACGCGACGTGAAAATTGTCCAACGAGGCAAAGCCGAGTTGGACAACACGTCGAGTGACTAAAAGACATCGTTTCGTAACGTATTGTATACAAGATTTTTTCTACTGGCATTTTATAGTAAAAAAACACAATTTTATTTCATGTGAATAAGTCGATTACGCCCAAAATCTTTGTTACCTGCTTTTACTTGACACCTGACACTTTTCATGCGATTTTTTTTTCAAGATTCGACATTAATAATTAAAATCCTAAAAAGTAGGTAACAACACAAAGTTCTGTTTTGACTAACCCAAACGTTCAATTCAATAATTACATTTTTAATATTCATAATAAATACAAAACAAAATTCAAATCTATGTTTAGTGTGGTTTTTATTTCTGAAAAATGAATGACACTTTTAGGCACTAGTGCTTAAAAATTACTTTTACGCACTCAAAAGTCACTTTTACGCATTCAAATGTCACTTTTACGCACTGAGTGCCTAAAAGTAACTTTTACGCACTCAGTGCTTAAAAGAATATCGTTTTAAAACTAAAATGACAATCGAAAAGTTGCTATTATGAAACGTCAGTAGAAAAAGTTAAATTATGTTAAATCTTAAATTATGTTAATATAAAATTAAATTAAATGTCTGTTAGAACCCAGCTTAAAAGTTAACTTATAGTTCATGTAGAAAAAACATTGTAGTAAATAAAGATAAAAAATATGATATTTCTAAGAATTGGAGCAGAACTTTTGTGGGACCCATTAAGACTCGGACCCAATCGGCCCATAATGGTCTACAATAGTTGGTCTTTTAAAATATACAGGTTGTCACGAAAGGTTTGTTACAAACTTCTAGGGATGGTAGATCTCGTAAAAATAAAACTTTTTTTTTAATAAACATGAGTCCGGAAATGCTTCGTTTTCCAGATATACAGGGTGGCCCAAATTTCAGCCTCATCATTGGGATCTCGGTAACCGTAAGAGATACGGGGTCGGTTAAATAATGGCAAAATTGCGCAGTTTTATGACCAATGGAATGCCGTTTTGAAACTAGAAAGATTCCGAATACTTCCGGAGATATTCGGAAAAAAACAAAATTTTGTAAAATCGTTTTTATTTTTTCCCGGGCTTATTTGAAAAGCAATTTTAAAATAAATGTCACTTCATCATTATCACTTTTTCCCCTTTAGAAGATGGTGCTACTAAATTTAAAATTCGAAATAATTTTAACTCACTCCGGGCATTTTTCCTTCTACTTTATTTTCTAAATTTCCACAAAATGGGATAAAATTTTGTATACATCACGTGAGTTAAAATGTTTATTCATGTCTTCCTACAATAAAGCAATTTTGATTTGATTTGATTTGATTTGATTTATATTTAACTTTATATTTTTTGACTGTTTTCGACTCTGTAAAGCTTCTATTTACTCCTTTACATGTTATGTAGCTTTTTAAGTGTAAAGGAGCGGATAGATATCTACAATAGGTACCTATTAGCTTCTACCTTATAAAAAGTTTTGTAACTATTTTATTTTTGTTTGTTTTTTGATGAATATGCTTTTATATTGTAGTTTTTAGGTAACGCTCATGCCTATAATTTGGCCAGAATTATTTATTTTCTTAATAAAATTTGTAGTTATTTATTAAAGATTTTTCATTTTATGCTGTATTAACACTTAAATTTAAATTTCGAAGAGCGTCTGCAACTTGTTGTGGACCGTCTGCCGAATCAAAAAATATATTTGTTTACTCTACACACACATACATTTCAATTAAGCCCAAATTTGCATATGTACCTCGTGAGGTAGCTTACAGATTTTCGGCGTCCCGGCGAGCGTCTGCTTTACGTAGGCTTCCAAATATCGACGTCTGCCGGCCGAATTAGGTATCTATAGGTTTTTTATGTTTTATTTAGGATGACGTCATCGAACAAGGTCAGATAATTTACTAGAATGTCATGTGTTAATAGTTCCGATGACAGCTAAAAATAACGAAATGAAAATGCGAGTGAAAATGTTTATACAAGTCATGCAATATCGGGCGCCCATGCCAACCAAAAACATCTGAAATTCCCCTACTTTGAGGGGTCGAATTTATAGTCGGTTCTCGAGGTTTCCTCACACCTTAAGGAAGCCTTGAACGTTTAGAATTGACATGATTAACTTGTCAAATAGTGGCAAGTGTCTATTCTAAACTGGCAATTCCAAGGAAGATTCAAGAAACGACTATAAATTCGGTCTTGAATGTGTTGAAAACTACTTCTAGTTTTGTTAGGTTGGCAGCAGAAATTTACTAAATGTGACGTCTAAAAATAGTGTAAAAATCCTATAGGAGTTTTTCCTTACACATTCTGAAATTTTTAGGTATGTACCAATGAGATAACAAAACCCAGATTTTTGTCTTTTTGACGAGCTGTCATTCGTGAAGTTGACCGCTGGACCCCGACAGACTGCCGCTTCTAAGATATGCACATTCTAAAATCTGTTTTTTTTTTTTTAAAGATAAAAGTCAAAGTGACATTATGTTGGCAATACAATGTAAAATTTTCAATGATTTCAAATTTTTTATATAGAAAAGGCTTGTGTTGCCAACATAGTTACTAAATTTATGACTTGGGGAATTAAACAGACTTTATGATAATATGCACATCAAGTACTTTTATCCAAGAAACTCAAACCTTTTTTACTCGATGAGGTAACTTATTTGCCTTTCGGCCATAGGTCTATATGTTTTGGTGATTATTTTTTACCTTATGAATGTGAATGGGGCTCGACTGGTAACAGATAGGAACTGTTCTGTGTCACAATGTTGTCACCGCATGCCGCGTATCCGTTGTGAAATATCAACTCCGGTATTTGGACCAAAGAATCTGATAGGGCGTGCTCATCTAAAGGTAAAAAAAAATATATTAAATTTGTAAAAAAAAATTCTACTCTTTTGCATGATTCTGGAACTGATTTAAAAAATTTTTTTTTCTTCTAAAAACAGCTTGTTGCTTGTTATAGTCGTCAGCTCTTTCTTGAGGTCTTGAGATCCTCATAAAAAAAAATAATTGGCCTAATACCAAAACTAACATTTATTTAATGTAGAACTTCAATCAGTCCCAAGGTTTATTTTTTTCCCTATAACGATTTACTTGGAATTTTGTTTAGAATATCTACACTTTTAACTAGAATTTTGTGTTTTTTGGAATTTATTTCCACATCTTGAAATGCTGTTAAGTTCACTATAGTAAGTAGCAATCTTTACATCCACACTAGCCCAATCTTGACCACCTCACCCCAAAGTAAAAATTGTTCATTATATTTATAATGTTCAAAACATTATTTGGAAATACATAATTAAATAACATGTCGTTGTTGAAACGGATCCACATAAACTATAGTTTTCCCAACATCACAAAATCAAACAAAACAATTACCTAGAAAAGAATCCAACAGTCCATGGGTCTGACTCAATTTTTCCAAAGATTTGACATCATTATCTACAGCAGCTAAAGCTTTTTCCAATTCTTCAGCTTCTTCTCTTGATGGTTCATATTCCCCATTCCGGTTGACTAAAATATTAAAATTAATCGACGAAAAATACACAAAAACAACATTTATACCTGCAAAGAAATCGCTAAACTCATCAACTTGTATTGTACTGAATACATTTGTGAGGTCAGTTTCTTCTAGCAAATGTGCCTGATTGGCTAGCGCTTGCTCTAAACCGTTTTCGTTTAGTGCCAACACTTGATCGACCATTTGAAGATCCTCTTCAAGTACCACTGGAGCTTCTACAACTTCTGTTACCAACCCTACAAAAAAAAGTTTATTGAAAAATTAACAAAACTTTGTTTTTCATATAATTTTTACCATTACAAGGCGCCGCTGGTATAATCTCCCCAATTATTGCACTAGGATTTGTGATAGTTTCGATTTGTTTCGATCGAACCGGCGATTTCTTTTTCTTTTTGTTCCGTTTTTGTGGCCTGATCATCGCCGACGGCTTCACTTTTTTCTTAACTCTCTTTGGTTTGGCTTCCTGGTACAGTCTATAGTTATCCTATATCGAGAAATAATTCAACGATTAGAACATTTATATCTTATGTTATTAATTAATTACTAAACAAATAAATGACTTCTTAAAAGTCCAATTAGGTTAATTTTCAGAAAACTTTTTAAAAATCAAAAGTTTTTACCCTCTTTCTTGCATGTACGGCACACAATGGCAGGTCGTGAGATATGTCAAACACTGGTACTGAGCATTGAGTATTATCCGCAAACTTTGCCGTGCAATATTCGAACAAAATTTGCCTACTGTCATACATGATGTGCATCGCGCAATACTTTGAACCATGAATGGAGGGTCTCCCACATTCATTCACCTAATAAAATATCATTTGAAGAAAAATTCTTGTTGCAAATTATCGTTCTTACCTCGCACAGTTTTGGTACTATAAGAGCGGTACTGCTACCGTCTGGTCTGCCAACGGTTGGGTTTTTTTTCCGTCTCGTGATCCAGTGCGGAACCCGGTTCGGTTTGCCAATATGGTTCAGTTGCTGTAGCCTGCGCCATAACTCGTGCCTGGTTATTTCGATTCGTTCTTCTCGAGATCTGTCTTCCAATTTGAATTGCTGAAATTATGAATTATGAATTATGAATTATGCTTCTCTCAAAAAGATCATGGAGAAATAATGTTTGTATTTTACTCTTAAATAAATTTAATTCAACTTGGATGACAAATAAATTACAAGCGATCAAAAATACATATTTTTTTTCCATTATGCATGGATTTGTCGAGAGGATACATTGTTGAGAGTATCAAAAGTACATTTGTTAACAACAAAATACCGTTTATTATTTATATTATATCAATTCCCAATTCCAAATTTGGAGATGACCAAATTCAGAATCATTCTTTCTACAAGAAAAATACCAAAAATACCAATACTTGAAAAAAGAGCAACAACTGTCCATTCTGTGTGACAAACAGCAGGGAACCGTACATTTCAACGTCAGGATTCTGCGCAAAACTTTAAATTTGTGCGCAGAATGCGAAATTCGTACACAGAGTAGTTCCGAAACCGTTCTTAAGTAGGTTTTTTGGCAGGTTGGAAGTTGGAACAGACCTGTTGTTTCTATTTTTTGTAAAAAGTGTTTCTATGTCGGTTATTGTCATTTTTCATCCACTAAACAAAGATAGCTAACTCATTGGTGAAGTCACCTATTAGAATAAAAATGAGGGCTAGCGATACCACATGCACGCCGAAAAATGGTGTTAAGTGATGTCGCTTTTTTGTCGTAAATTTGTCGTGCAGAAAAAAAAAATTATCGCGTTTTTTTTTTTTTTCTTTTCTTAAATACCCTGGTAATGCTATTCTATATTTTGGAAAGAAACATTTATTACCAACTCCATTTTTGAAATACGAGAGACAAGTAAACAAAATAAAAAAATAACGCATAATCTCGTCCATAGGTTAGAAAATATTGGCATTTTGTCAAAATTCCAATTGTTTATTATACAAATTCTTATGAAAACTGCCACTAGGGGGTCGCGGATTTCAATTTGTGCCCGGTCCCTATAACCAAAGACTCAAAGTCTTAGTTACAAAAATAAATACTAAAATTTGTACAGACATTGCAGATATAGAAGCGCGAACAATATTAATAAATCAAAATGAGTTAACTGCAACTCAAAATTTACTAGCAAATATTTCTAGTGAATTGATAACACTATTAATTATCCAGAATCCTCAAAATCTAGACACTGCTATTGACATTATTACAAATTATGAAATTTTGATAAGTCAGAATAACTCATTTTCAAAAAATCATAATCAAACAAAAAAATTGAAACCAACAACAGCAACAACATCCAATATTTCAAAATCAAATTTTCAAATTCTCAAATTAATCAACATCGAACTAATCGGTTTAAACCTCAAAAGCAATTTAAACCTTTGAATCAGACTAACAAAAATCAAGCAACATCCAAGCAAACTTACCCTCAACCAATGTCAGGTGTTAGCGTTCAACCCAATTGTAAGACACACTCAAAAACCTTTCCAATCAACAGGGAAACCTCCTAATTTTACGTTTCAGGAATTAACTCATGTAGATGAGAATAATTATGAAGACAACACTGAATTTGATTATTCAGATAATCAAATATTTGAATATGACGATAATGACCAATCTTCAACTACTGATGAAACTCTAGCTGAACAATTGGAAAATTTTCAATTACAAGCTTCGGATTAAACAAAAAATCATGCTTAAGTTTAAATAGCTTTCAAATCAATCGATTACCATATATCAATATTCCTAATTCTAAGTATAATATTCGACTACTTATAGACACAGGATCTCATGCATTGTTTAGGACCAGCCTGTTTTAATAGAAACAGGCAAATTTAATTTTGAAATAAATTAACAATAAGAAAAAAACGACTCACGATAAAGATTTAAAAAAATGTGTATTGGTAAGGTCTCACCTCTGTGTCCTGGACTCTAGCTTACCCGGCCGGGGTTTCTTGATGCTACCAAAAATGAGCTTCTGGATGGTATTATTGAGCGAAAGTACATCCGATAACCGAAATCATTGAGATCGATTGTTCTCGACGTGTCACCAAAAAACGCGGATTTAAAAGACCGTGACGCTCATCGACTGGAGCTGTACATTTTAACACTGTCGTAGGTTTCGTATCTCCATCGTCAGGTATCGCGCGCAAAACCCCAAAAAAGATATATGTTTATAAAAACTCAACGCTCGATTCTTGACTCTTTGACGGAGTCCAATTAATATCGATAAATAAGAATTACCCAATTCTGAACATTCCGCCCACCAAAAATAATAACTTATTTTTCCTTTCTGTCTGCAACAACACACTACAACGGCCATATGCATAACATTGAGCGTACCTTATGATAACCCCCAAAAAAAATAAAATAAATCCTATAAGTATATTTAATAATAATTAAGGTCGATACTTAAAATAACCAGGTACGAAACCCACGTAGTAAAGAAACAAAAAAATTGATAGGCAATAATAGAGAGATATTGCAAATCAGCCTTAATAAGGCCAAAACCTTATTTAGACGCGATAGGTCATTTCCTTACTTCGAATGACAAGTTTGGATAAGTATTGCAAATTTCCAAAAACGGCTAAGAGTTGCTGCCTTATTTCTAACCTGAAAATCTTGAATTTTTGTTAATGTTTAGGTATTTTTTAAGTTTTGAACTTGAAGTGTTTTTTTTTTCTGATGTGGAATAGGATGCTTAAATATTTTGAAAATAAGAAATTATTTATTCAAAATATTTATATAGTACGTGTAAAATCGTGGAACAGTGGCAGGAAAATGACACAAATTCTCTGCAAAACCTGCAAAACCAGTTCATCGTTATAGCGTACGTAAACCTTGAGGTTGTTTGTTTGTGTTGTTCGGGACAGCACTTCCTGCTTTTATATGGTCTATCTGCCATATTCTGAGATATTACAGCTTAGTTCAAGTTAGTGAGACACAAACAAATAAACCTTTAGTCTGAGTCTGCCTCTTTTCTGTGCCTCATTGCTGTTTTGATTTTGCCATTATTAATTTCTCAAAGTTTGTGAAAAAAAATTCAAGAAAAATCAAAATTTGTTGTCATGAATCTAAAATCTATGGTTATAAACACAAAACAAAAGTCAGTTTTATTCCTACCGATCATCGCCGATCGACTAAGAACTTTTAAATAAGGCAAATATAAGGCAGGTCTTATTTTCTCCTAAATAAGGCAGATCCTTATCCTTAATAAGACTGTCCTTATTCCAAACGGAAACTGCGCATGCGCAGCTGTCGAAATAAGGCTTGCCTTAATAAGACAAGCACTTGCAATATCTCTAATAATAATAATAATAGCTAAGTACCTAATAATAATTAAAAAAAAACTTAATATTAAATCCTATAAGGCCAATTATTCTATGGGCAAGGCACACAACTTAACTAAGGGCCTATCCATAAAACCTTTAGCCGTACGGACTTGCACAATTCGCACGACACTATCACGACTGAGATACAACTTACTAATGCGCCCAAGAACTCATTGTAAGGGGGGCGAATTTTCATCCTTAATTAGGACCAGAGTGCCGACTGTAGGAGCCTTTTCCTCTCGGTTCCATTTATGCCTCTGCTGAAGAGTGTGCAAGTACTCCACTGACCACCTTTGCCAGAAATGTTGATGCATGTGTTGGAGTAATTGCCATCTAGTAAGCCTGTTACTATTAATTGATGTGAGATTTTCATCCGGAGGAGCCGTTAAAGGCTCCAGGGTTAGAAAATGTCCTGGGGTAAGACAAGTAAGGTCGTTGGGATCAGAACTCAGTCTACATAAGGGTCTTGAATTCAAGACAGATTCGATTTGTACAACAACGGTAGATAGCTCCTCGAATGTAAGCATCTGCGTACCTACAACGCGTCGCAAATGATTCTTTACTGACTTCACCGCCCCTTCCCATAATCCTCCAAAGTGAGGCGAAGCCGGGGGATTGAAATGCCACTTAATAGCGAGGCATTGCGAAGACTGTTTTGAATATTGCTCATTTGTTATTTGCACCGGACCCATAAAATCTATTCCGGTGCGACGAAAGGGTCTTATTTGAGAAAGACGTGCAGAGGGCAAATCGCTCATGAATGGCGAAAAGGAAGTAGGTCTCAACCGAAAGCATATCACACACTTTGACAGAACATGACGAATAGCCCGCCGGGCTGAAAGAATCCAGAATTGCTGCATCAAGAGATATTCCAGAGTTTGCAGTTCAACATGGCAATGCTCACGATGGAATGATTCAATAACAAGATCTGTGATTCGATGAAGCCTAGGCATTGGATGCTTTGCTGCAAAGGGAAGCTTTGAATTTCTTAGACGTCCGCCCACTCGAATAATGCCTTTCTCATCCAAAAAGGGACTCAACTTTCTCACAGTCTTGGAGCACCATTTACCTGCTCTAAGATTACGCAAGTCGTCCGCAAATGCGGATCGTTGCGCCAACCTAACCAATACTATCAAGGCTTGGTGCAACTCAATTTGCATCAAAGGGATAAATTGTCGCGCATTAACGTGTGCTCGACAATTACCAATGAATCGCAGACAATAAGCTACAATACGCTTTATTTTTTGAAGAGATGAATATTTATTCAACAGAGTCTTAGGGGGGACACTGGCGATACACACTAATATTCTCTCCTCACAGTCAACGATCTCTCCCACCACTGGAGAGAAACTACTAGCTGGCCAGAGCTCACTGACCTCTTTAAGCCACGGTGGCCCCGCCCACCATAACGGATGGTCGCAAAGCTGACCAGGCAAAATGCCTCTGGAAGCGCAATCGCTAGGGTTTTCCTTTCCACTTATATAAAACCAACGGGAAGGTGGAATGATTTCCTGAATTTTGGCAACACGATTAGCCACGAAACTTTTCCAACGATGGGGTGATGACCTCACCCAGCTCAGAACAACCGTTGAGTCAGACCAAGCCAACACATTATCTATCTGGACAGTCGTAAAAGGTGCCATCACAAATTCAAGAAGTTCGCACAACAGAACAACCGCACACAATTCCAGCCGGGGTATAGACAATCGCTTAAGTGGGCTTAC